CGGGGGGGGTCCGGTGGCCCCTCACCACCCGCCCTGTCCCCGTAGGCCTGCCTGATGCACGAGGCCAAGAACTTCAGCACCTACTTCCCCGTCATCTTCTGCCTGGAGTCGGGCAGCTCCGTCACCAAGAACCTGGAGGCTGTATGTCCCCCTCCCCGCCCCTCGTGCCCCACCTGGGGGCTGTCCCCGTCCCCTTGACAGCCCCCACGTCCCCTGTGCCCGGCAGTGCCTGCAGATCTACGCCCCAGAGCTGGACAGTGGCCGCGTGGCCGCCTGCGTGCAGGGGGACACGGGGGTGGCCCTGATGCACCACAACGCCCAAGTGACCGAGGCGCTGGACCCCCCGCACCAGTACGTGCCCTGGATCACCGTCAATGGGGTATGGCAGGGGGAAACTGGGGTGTCACCTGGGGCTGGGACACCGTGGGGACCCCCCTGACCAGCCCCGTGTCCCCCCCACAGAAGCACACGGACGAGCTGCAGGCACAGGCAGAGGCTTCGCTGCTGGGGCTGGTTTGCCACCTCTACCAGGTGGGACAGGGCTCTGAGGGGACAGCAGGGCTTGGGGACACATCCCCATCCCTGCTGGGGCTCTAATGGCTTCTCTCTGGCAGGGGGAGAAGCCTGAAGCCTGTGGGGGCTCCAAGGCCCCGAAGTTCCCGTCTGGCTGCAGGCGCTGAGGGAAGTTCTGGGAGCACCAGGAGAGAGGCAAATAAAAAGGATATTTTTGTTGAAAACCTCCAGGATCTGGAGTGGGGGAGCAGGGAGGGGATGGTTTTGTCCTGCCACAGTGGGAAGGGGAGAGGGGCTGGGCACTGGGACAATGGGACTGCCTTCCAGACCTGGGAATTACCTGCTCCAGAGGTTCACAAAGAAACCCCTCAAAGATTCTCAGGGAACTCTGCTGAGCAGCTCCCTGAGGAGCAGAACATTTCCTCTCTCCAAGTCTTGGGAAGCAGCTCTGCTGTCCATCTTTCTTCTCACCATCTTTCTCTTGGCACTGGGGCCAAGACCATCCCAGTTCCCGCCAATCCTTCTCCATTCCCAGCCAGCAGGTTTAGGATGGAGCTTTCCTGGTGGCTCCCTGAGCACTTGGGACAAGAAGTTCTCTCCAGCAGACTTCAGGAGTTTCCCAGGCCTGCTTGTCCCAGCAAAAGGCCATTCCCAGCTGGGCTCTGGGAAACAAAATCTCCACAAGGACAAGGAATTCTTGATCCAGAGAATTCTCACTACCTGTAGAACAAGTCCTCAGTGCTGGGGTCCTGGCTGGGTGATGGGCACCAGAGCTCACACCTGCTTTGTTTTCCATCCCCCTCATCCTCAGCCAGAGGCTCCCAGCTGCAGGGACTGCCCTCAAACCTCTCCTCACACAAGGTGTGACCCCATCCCCTCACCAGCCCTGCCCACCTGAATCCTCCAGTCCAGCACTGCAGGCACGGGACTCATCCCACCCCATCCCAGCTCTGGCTCCACACCAAGGGCTCTTGCACTGGCAGACCCCTGAGAGCCACCTGTAGCCTCCCTTAACCCTTTCCCAGAGGAGCTGGGGGGCTGTGGGAGCAGGAGAGACACAGGAGCCCCCCACATTCCATCCTGAGAGATGCCAGAGAGCCTTGAGCAGCCAACAGCCAGGAGGAACCACGGTCCTGCCACCACAGCCATCACTCCTGTCTCTCTCAGGCTCAGCCAACCTGGGCCACCTGCCCAGTGTCCCCTCAGTGTCCCCACCACCCCAAGGACAGCAAGGGAGGCAGCTGCAAGCAGGGACCCTCCTTCCCTTTTAAAAAAACAGTAAAAAAGGAGGGAAAAAAAATCACAGCATCAACCAGAGAATGCCTGGAAACTTAATCTCTCTTTATTGCCCATTTCTCATCCAACACCTGGACCCCAAACCCAGCTCTGGGCCCTGAGCAAGCACAGTCCCAGCGGCACGAGCACAGCACGGCCCAGCTCCTGCTGCTGCTCAGCGTCTGCCTCGAGCATCATCCTCGCCCCAAAACTTCTGTCCCCTGCATCAGCTGCACTGCCACCGCCCGCAGCTCGCAGGGCCACAGAAAATTCTTCTGCTCGAGAGAAGAAGGGAAAAGAAAGGAAATAATAAACCCTAACCCTGAATCTGAAGGAGTCTCAGCGCCGGAGGACGAGGTCTCCTCTCCCGAAGGTGCCGCCGGAGCCCTCGGGGCCGTGGGGCAGGAGCAGGACCGGGTCCCACAGGCCGAGGGGCTCCCGGGGCGCTGCCGGGGCTCAGCTGCGAGGAGCGCTGGCCGCAGGGCAGAGCCCGCTGGCCCAGGGTGTCCAGGAGCCCTCGGCGCTGCCCCGGCCGCTCTCGGTGCCCAAGCCCAGCCCGAGCGGGTCCCAGCCCCAGCCGGGAAAGGCGCTGGAATTCCCAGCAGTGAAATCGCCGCCAGGCCAGGTCGGTGCCAGCAGGTCCTGCTTCAGGAGGAGGGACAGCGACCCCGAGGCATCATCATCCGACTCCGGAGAGCTGCCGGCCAGGGAAGCGCCGAGGCTGCGGGGGAAGCTCAGAGCCGCCCCCGGCCCCTTCCAGCCCGCCCGCTCCTCCTCGCCTTTCTTCTTCCCCCCCTTCCCGCACAGCCGCACCACCCTGACGCCGTGCCAGTCGCGGTGCCCGAGGCTCTCGAAGGCTCTGTGGGCGCTCTCCAGGCTCTCGTACTCCACCAGGGCACAGCAGCGGCTCAGCAGCTCGGGGAAGCGCCCCGAGTACCTGCGCACGTCCGCGGGCAGCTTGCGGCCCGGCCGCAGCAGGCGGATGGAGGCGATGGCTCCGAAGGGGCTGAACATCCTCGCGATGGTCTCCAGGAAGGTTTCCTGCAGCAGCAGCTCCTGCTGCCGCGGCTGCAGCTCCCAGGCCAGCAGCTTGCTGGGGGGGACGCTCAGCAGGTGCTCGGGGATGGGGAGCCGCCGCCGGACTTTGGTGCCCTCCTTGTTCACCTCCAGCAGCGCCGAGAACTTGAGGGCGTACAGGGTGAGGCGCCAGTCCCGGGTCAGGTATTTCACCTGTGCAGAGAGGGTGGAATCCCCATCGGGCTCCATCCCCCGCTCTCCACACCC